ATTTGAATATGGGTTTTTTAAGAGAATATGGGTTAGAATATGATGCGTTTGTATATTCTCGTGAGTGAATTGTTTTCAAACAATATGATGAAATTTTCTCAACACAAATGATGATGCATATATATGTTCTAGCTAGTGAATTTTTTTCAAACAATAATGCATTTAAAATATTCTACGATACATTAAAATATGGTTAGAAACTCTTTAAATGATACAAATTTTAAAATATGAACATACATATTTAATGAGTCAAATGCAAGATGAGACTATCTTTGAAAAAAATGAATCGTTATTAATAGTTAAAATAATGGTGCAGTGGAGCGATATGTGTCACAGTTTTGCACTTGAATCTTTCAAAGGAAAATTATTTCTCAAATCTAAATTACACGTGCTCTGAATACAATGCATTCTTATCGCATACAAAGTCACTTCGAAGCCGTCATTTACTAACCCACAAATTATTAAAATAAAAATTATATAAAATTTAAGCGATAATTGACAGTGCATATATGAGCCATTATGGAGCATTTGTGCATAAAATCATACTTGATACTACATTTATTTGGTTAAATAATAGAGAAAAAAGTATGTATAAATTTGACTATAAAATATAAAAATATCAAAAATTTATATTGAATATTATTATCATCGTGTAAATCTTACGACATATTTTCAACGATATACTCCCTCCGTCCCAGAGTATTTGTCCACTTTCATTTTTACACACCATCCAATACACTTTTTTAATCTATTTTATCTTGTAATTTGTATATTAAAAAATTATAGAAATTATATATTAATAATCTATATGTTAAGACAAATCAAACAAGATCACACATGACTATATTTAGGCTTACACATTGAGAGAATTTGATGAGTCAAAGTGCTTAGATAAACAGTTCCAAAAGTCAAAAGTGGACGAATATAGCGGGACGGAGGTGGTATTATTTTACAAAAAAAAAGAGTTGTATACAAAAAATTATTTAAAAAATATTCAAAGCAATAGAGTAATTAAATAAAGTTAAATTAATATTATATTATTCAAATATAGTAATATTTCTAAATTGAATAAGTAGTGGCTCGTGGCCGTAGGGGTGTGCACCGGTCCAAAACCGGACCGGACCGGACCGGAACCGGAATCGAGATTTTCTAAAGACCGAAGACCGGACCTGTTGGTTACCGGTCCGGACCTGAATATTCCGGTCTGGTCCGGTCTGGGTTTACCCTACTATGGACCGGATTTGTTACATTAAAAAATCACATAAACTAAATTGATAAAACCAAGACTTAATATCTCCACAAAATCTAAGATGATACGTAAACAAATCTGAAAACTTCAAATTAAAGATAAAATTAAAATTTTAAGAATAAAGTCATGCTAGGAATCACCATTGCTAAGAAATAAAAGTAGAAATTGAATTTATACCTCTTCCCCTTGTTTTTCCATATCTGTCACGTGAGCAGCAACCCTCAAGCCTCAGGGGAGCCGCGACTGGGAGACCAGCGTCGAGCGGGAGAAGGAGGATCGGATTGACGGAGAAGGCGAGAAGTAAAAATCGATTGCCTCTGTGGCTCTAGCCTCTCTGTGCGTCGCTACTGGGAGAACTCGCTGGGAGTCGCTGGCTCGCTGGAGTCGATGCTTGCTGGTCTGCTCAGTGCTCAATACGATATTAGGTATTTAAGTCATTCAAATTGATTAATTGGACTGGATATTGGATAATAAATAGCTTGCATTAGTGGATAGGAAGATAGGTATAAAAAAAAGATTAAGCTATGTCTACCCCAACATTTATACCCCAATTTGTACCCCGCAGGTTCGCACTAACATTTTATGTTGGTGTAAAACTAATTTTTGTTAACGCACCAACATTTTTGTCCGTGTAAATTTTTGTTAACTCACCAACACTTGTGTGAATGTAAACCATCAAAATGTTTGTGCAAAACTGTGGTGTACAAGTGGTGTAAGTTTTTTGTGTAAGTGTAGCATGGTCCATAAAAAAAATAAAAAAAATAATATATTGAAAAATTCCGGTCCAGACCGGTTATATCCGGTTTTTAGACCGGACTGGAACCCGAAATCCATAATTTATTAAGACCGGAGACCGGGCCTGATTAATCCGGGCCGGACCGGACCGGACCGGTCCATTCCGGTCCGGTTCAGGTCTAATTTCAGGTCCAGACCGGTTGTTGCACACCCCTACTCGTGGGAAGTTTTGAACTAAAGAGAATAAGTGCTGAGATAATTGCCACATTAATGCATCACAATTTACCAAATTGCCCATAGATATTAATTACTCCCAATTGTAGTGCATACGTTTAGTCCTTTCCATAAATAAGATGAAAATTAATTTTGGAGGCTTTCAAAATGTTAACCGTTGGATGCACTAGATCTAATGATTAGGATTTATTCTTATTTCTTTCATCATGAGTCATTCTCACCTGAACCGGCCTATATATATATATATATATATATATATATATATATATATATATATATATATATATATATATATATATATATATATATATATAGGAATTGACTTCAGTGAGATGACACCTTATGGTGAGATGACATACTTCAGTCAGATGACACAAAACTCACCACTGGCCACTGCAAAGCTCACAAAAAACAACTACAAAACTCACCAAACTGTTAGGCAAAACTCACCATATTTTATCAACACTTTGAATTTTTTTTTGAAAAAAAATCAAAGGAAAGGGTGCTGACTAGGCTTTGACTATTGACCGTTGACCATCACCGGCCACCGACCACCGCCGCCGGTCTCTGCCGCACCGCCGTTGCTGACCGTGGTTGACCGGTGTTGCTATTTTATTTTTAATTATTTTTTTAATTTTTAAAATTTAAAAAAAAGGTGAGTTTTGGTGTTCAATGTGGTGAGCTTTGCTTTATTTTCAGGTGAGCTTTACATTGGTCATTGGTGAGCTTTGCAGTGTAATGTGGTGAGCTTTGCGTCATCTCACCGAAGCATGTCATCTCACCGTAAGGTGTCATCTCACTGGAGTCAATTATATATATATATATATATATATATACACACACACACACACACACATACATACATACATACATACATACATATATAAATATATATATAAGGATTGACTCCAGTGAGATGACACATTATGGTGAGATGACATGCTTCGGTGAGATGACGCAAAGCTCACTCCTAAGCTCACCAATGAACAATGCAAAACTTACCTAGAAATAAAGCAAAGCTCACCAATTTGAACACCAAAACTCACTTTTTTAAAAAAAATTAAAAATGAAAAAGTTAATAAAAAAATAAAATAGCAACACCGGTCAACCACTGGTCAGCGGCGGCAGGAGGCGGAGTCCGGCGACCGGCGGCGGAGACCGGCGGTAGGCAGCGGTCAAAGGTCCAGGTCAATGGTCAAAATCTAGTCAACACCCCTTCCTTTGATTTTATTTTTCAAAAAAAATTCAAAGTGTTGAAAAAATATGGTGAGCTTTGCTTTATACTTTGGTGAGATTTGTAGTTGTCTTTGGTGAGCTTTGCATCATCTGACCGTAGCTTGTCATCTTACTATAAGGTGTCATCTCACTGGAGTCAATCCTATATATATATATATATATATATATATATAGGATTGACTCCAATGAGATGACATGCTTCGGTGAGATGACGCAAATCTCACCAAACTACACTACAAAGCTCAGCAATGGACAATGCAAAGCTCACCTAGAAATAAAGTAAAGTTCACCACTTTGAACACCAAAACTCACTTTTTTTTAATTTTAAATATTTAAAATTAATAAAAAAAATAAAATAGCAACACCGGTCAACCACCGTTCAACTAAATATAAGGTCTACATACAAACACCCTCTCCAAACCCTATCCTTGTAGAAATCTATTAGGTTGTTATTATTGTTGTAAGCATCTACTCTTTTCATCCCAATGTTAAATGTTTGTTTCAATTTACAGTGTTTGACTGAATTATTTTCTATTCAGTTTATAAGAGAACTGGGATAAAATTAAAAAATTAGATTTACATATATAAAAATTACATTAAAAGTTCTTCAAAATAAAAGTTGAAATAACTATATAGGAGATGGACTATGTATCACGTGAAGGCATGTGCATCACGTGCATCACAGAGAACGTGAAGAGCGATTTGATGGACTTAACAAATTGCATATAAACACTTTCAAATTAAAGTTCGTTCGAAGTATACCAAATAGTTCCGTTGGATAAGACGTACGTAATCTAGAACGAGTATGAATGTTCCTGGTTGTATCACAACATTCCATAGTCTTATTTATAGGCAAAATTCCAAACGAACGTGTTAGTTGATGAAACAACACAACTTTCGGGTAACATTTTAATGTTTGCACTAAAACATTTGAATGTTTATGGGTTATAGTGAACGATAATTTCTACAGTTACATGCGAACCGTTGCAACTTATCACGAAACATTCAAATGTTTGAGATCAAACATCTGATCGTATCAGGCAGTTTTACAAAAGCCATTAGGGATAAACATTACATTCTTCCTAAAAAAGAACATTACATTCAAATATATTGTTTTATACATTCAAATTACATTACTCAGAACTTCGTTTACGAAAATCCTAAGGATTTTCATTAAACAACTAGATCATAACTAAAAACTTTCCCACCTGTCCCGACAGCTCGACCCCGACCAGAAACCAGGGGCGCAGCCCCTTGGACCCGACTACCGGAGACTGCCACCCCCGGGCCCCATTAAAGAATTTGTAATATCGTTGAATGAATAAACATTCCACAACTCCAACCCACTAACGTCTATTAAACTTCTGGTCTATTCTAAGTAAATCTAATTACACTAAAATCACCAACAAACCATTCATGCATATCCACAAAATTCTCTATTAATTATGGAGTATTATTTTCAAACAATAATTGAATTCATCTCTTAAGATTATTTTAATATAACTACGCAACACCCAATTAACATATTACCGAGTATTAATGAAGAATATGTTGATCACTTGAGCCACATATTATTCAACAAATTTCCGACACAAATTTTCTTGTTGATACAGAGTATATGTGAACAAAATGGTGTATCAAAAACATACTAAACGCCTGGATCAGCACAAGTAAATTAAATTTCGAGCAGAACTTTCTCTCTCTAGCTATGGCGAGGAGAAGGGGACGGCCAAAAAGGAACAATCCGAGCAACAGTGGGAATGGATTTCAAACGCCTGGATCAGCACAAGGGAGTGCTTCGAATGCGAAATCTACGGGAGGAAAGGACATTCCAGACGCTATTGTACCTGATATGAAGGAGATGAACCCTAATTTGGAGGAAAGTGATATTCCAGATAAGGCTGAGACTCCGATCCAGAAATCATATGCGAGTGTTGTTGGCAATCAAGAAGATGACCAGAAATTATGCTATATACCAGCTACTGAGGTAAATGGGAATTTTGTGGCTAAACTTACGAAGGATGATGTTATTGATACTACAACATATTGGGATGCTACGCTAGTCTGTTGTATTCTGGGAGCAAACCCTCCATTGGAGGTGGTGAAAGGCTTTATTAATAGGATCTGGAGTTCCTACTCAATTGAAGAAGTTTCGCTGCTCAAGGAAGGTCAATTCATTGTCTCATTTAAACGTGTTGAGGACAGGGATGAAGTTATTAAGAGGAAGTACTATTATTTTGACAATAAACCTGTCCTAGTCCAGAAATGGTATCCAGGGGTGAAGGTTAACATAGATCAACTGGATGATATTCCCATTTGGATACAACTGCCCGACCTAGAGATGAAGTACTGGAGCTTGACTGGACTAAGTAAGATAGGAAGCTTGGTGGGTAAACCTGTCAAACGAGATAGAGCTACTGCAAGTAAGAGGAAGTATGCATATGCTAGGATACAGGTAGAGGTAAAAGTTCAACAGGAGTTCCCATTGATGGTTCAGTTTATAGATGATGAAGACAGAGTGAAAAGCCAGGTGATTTCCTATGAATGGTACCCTTGTCTCTGTTCCCACTGTGGAAAACTAGGGCACTTGCAGGAATCATGCAGGAAAAAAGGGGATAAGCCTCTTGAAGTGAAGAGAAAACT